TTTGATTAATTCACAGCCTATGTTTAATTACATTTAAAATAAATGTTAACAGATGAGATCAAACAAAACACATGAGAATTGCCTTTAAGCTGTTTAACTTGGACCAAGCATTTTAGGTCACAGATAGGTGTAGCTTAGGGTCTCTGTCTATACACCTTATAAGACAATTTAGGTGATGGCATGTTGTTTTTCTGCTATTGGAACTGTTTTCTAATAATGTTGTGTTAAATAAAGTGAAGGAAGGAGAGAAATAACGTTTCCCTAGCAGTTTTTAAAAATTTCCCCATGTAATCCGATTAATTGTGTCGAGACCCCATCCGATTAATCGATTATCCAAATAATCGTTTGTTGCAGCCCTAACTGAATGTCTGATCATTGTCCCTGAGAGTATGGTTCTCCTGATTAGTCTAAAACTCTGTCATTTATCCTCTGTCGTCAAGTAGGGCTGGGGGTAAACGACTATTTTTTTAAACGTTCATTCTGACGATTATTTTATCGAATAGTCGACTATTCTAATGACTATTTAGACAATTAATCTAATGATTATTTTTCTATTGCACAGTTAATAAAAAACAAAAAATCTCTAATAAATTCCTCAAAAAAATTGATAAACTGTAAGGGAATAAACACTACAGGCCTTCCATTTTGTATAACACTGCTTTTAATGTGTTGGTTGGTTATGTTCTGGTGACGTGTAGAACGTGGGAGTGCAGGCTGCTGCCTGAGAGGTGGTTGGAGACGGTGTGTCTCCATGCTGCTTTGTTTTGGTCACTCATGTGCGTGAGGCGAGTGGTGTTACGACCCTTCCTGGGGAGTTTGGCTCGTGTGCAAAAAGGAAGGGACAATAACGGGATTTAAAAGTTAAAATGATGATCAGGTTTATTTACAACTACAAAAAAACACAAATCTTTCCATCCACAGGTTGGGAATAATAAAACTAATTCTGCCTGTGGGGAATTAGTAGGGATGTCCCACTGGGCAAAGATTACTGGGTTCTGGACCAAAATAAGAATCTCCAAAGGTCCAAACTCTAAACTGGGCGGTTAAACCAAACTCGAGGTGATATTTTAAACTAAATCGAAAACCCACAACACTCTAAATGTAATAAAAGGGAGATCTGCACCACAAACAAGATGAACTCTAAACCAAAACGTAACAGCTTATCCCAACGCAAGAAGCTGTTAGCGAAGATGCTAACAGTAGCTTTACCGACGTTAAATTCAAGTTACCAAGTTTAAATAAACCAAAAACACCCAGCAGCAAACAGACCAGCACGGAGGAGAGACTGCTACCACCAAAACAGCTCTCCTCATGTCTGAAAGAAGCTTCTTTATGAAGGGAGAAACGCTCCCGGTGATGTTCTACATCTGCGGTAGAGACGGAGCAGCGTATCTGACCCAGGAAGTTGTTGTCCGTTGCCGGGAGACGAGGGCGGGCAAAACAAGAAAGGAATCTAGTAGCGGACAGACGTTGTTCTGGGTCTTCGGTATTTGGTGGAGATGTTAGTGTAGGCGCCGGACGAACCAGAGGAAAAACAGGCAGATTCCTCCTCTATTTACAAACTCCTGGGGATGCAACAAGTGGGCGTGGTGCGTCGACTACCGGATCTGACGTCGACGAATTTTTAGAATCGAGCCGTCGACGTCATTGGGGCTTCACCACAGCCCTATCGTCAAGACAAACTTAAAGGGACTCTAAGGAAGTTTGAAGTTTTTATGCTCGCGATCGCCACTCAGGCCTAACGCGTAATTGCAGCTTCAAAAGTAAGCTCGTGCATGAGGTGCGCATGCTGTACGTGCACACTCCTTAACGAAAATAACAGCTGAGACAGTGTGTGTGTGGCCCAGAGGACAGAAGAACACAGCAAATTAATAAAAATAATGTGCCTCTGTCTCTGCAGCTGCACTTTCTCGTCGGCCGGCCGAACGTGCAGTGTGTGTGTGTGTGTGTGTGTGTGTGTGTGTGTGTGTGTGTGTGTGTGTGTGTGTGTGTGTGTGTGTGTGTGTGTGTGTGTGTGTGTGTGTGTGTGTGTGTGTGTGTGTGTGTGTGTGTGTGTGTGTGTGTGTGTGTGTGTGTGTGTGTGTGTGTGTGTGTGTGTGTGTGTGTGTGTGTGTGTGTGTGTGTGTGTGTGTGGCCCAGAGAACACGCAGCTAATTAATTAAATAATTTGGTTCTGTAGCTTTCTCTTCAGCACAGCCGACAAAGGTTTATGATGGGTCAGTCCTCCTGCATGCTCAGATCATTCCCTTCCCTTGCTTGAAAAATTGTTCCAAAATGAAAGTTGAACCCACATCTTTTTTATCTGTGAATTCAATGCTGTTCGGCGAGTCTCAAATAAAAATGTGGGTGTCTTACTGTAAAAAAATTATCACTGATGTAAAAAAAAAAAACTCCAAATAACAAATTATGTTCATACTTGGAGTCGAACCCAGGTCTTCTGCATGAAAGTCAGACATCTTACTAGGTGAGCTAAAGCACCAGTGACATTGGACCGATCTGTAGCATGTATATCCTTGATGACAGCTGAAACAACGTCAATCCAAAGAACGGCTCAGAGTGAAAATGGCTATTTTGTTGCTAATTTGCAGGAAATATCTAGAAGAAAGTTCTACAGAAAGTAGCTAAGGGTCCTCAGAAATGTTGCTAGCTTTGTCACTAGCCGTTAGGAACAGCGACAGAGACTAAAGCTACGGATAGCAAATGCTACGGGCGATGCCTGAGCGTGAACGCGCATGAAGCAGCCTGCTCGACCCGAGCATCTCTCTTTTTCTGTGATTTTACAGAAAAACAGGCAATCCCAGTAAAAATGCCAGGGCTCATTCTACAGGACCAGGGCATTGCAGGAGAACGTATGAAGAAGACATTGAGACCATTATTTTTCTAAGTGTTGGAGCTAAAATTAATATCAGATTCTGCCAACAAAACGGCTCTAAAACAATTCATATGTAAATATGTAGCATATTTATTGCTAAATCTTATTTTTCTGCTGCTTTAATGCTGCAACAACCGTATATTAATTAGACATAGTTAATTTTGATTCATTCATTAATGTCAAGTAATCAAGACATTATTAAATTACCTTAGGTAAAACATTCATTGTATAAAACAGAATATAATTGTAATTAACTGATAAGATGAGGCAATCATTGTATGACACCAAATATGATTCTTTTGAAGTTAAACCCATTCGCTGCCAGCGTTTTTCAGCGTTTTTACTGTTTTTTAAGAGTCACAGAACGTTGCGCTCTAGGATGATGTCAACGCCAAAGCTAACAAAACAAAGACTTACCTCTTACAGCCGGAAGAATCCGCGCGTCTCGAGCGTTATCCGTTCTGATCGGCAGAAGCTTTTCTGGTTCGCGCCTCACTTTTTTTTTTTACGTCAGCGGCTCAAAACGATCTGCTAACACATGGATGTTCTGCTTCCTGGGCACGTGACGTACGCGGATGAAGATCGGCTTTAGAGCTGGGATGTTTGTTCTCACGGTTCGGGGGCTCGTTCCGACGCCCACACATTTGAAAAATGTAAATGACAACTTTAGTCGTCATTGGCTGTGAATGAGTTAAGAGTTCTGTCTGGAATCTCCTTGTGGCTTTACACTTTTTGTTGTGTGTGCAAAATTAACAAATCTTGTTTGCAATCAATGGCCCACATTTGTGGGAGTATTTTGTAGTATGGTATCTCACAGAAAATGTTGATTCTGAAAGGAAACTAAAGGTTTTCTGACAAATTTAGTGGGCTGTTCTAATTTATGCAGAGCACTGTATTTTTATTATTTTTATGAAGCAAAAAGCAAGTTTCCACATAAGAGTGAAGTGAGATAAAACGAAAACGAGGCTCACCAATCGGCCGTTTTTGGCCATGTTGTTTTGGGGTTTTAGGTGTTTCGGTTGAAAATGCACTTTTGGGTTAACTTACTGCCGTAAATTGTTTTGTGGTCGAATTTTCGGTGCATCCCTAGAAAATATTAGTGTGGATAAATTGTATGGCTGTAGCTCTTATGTACTTAAATTGTGTAAAAGTAGCTCACAGTCTCCAAAAGGTTGGCGTGTTGAGTTGTTTCAAATCGAATCGAAAATATTAAATCCTCTGCAGTGATGCATAGTATTGGCTGAAGATTTTTTCCCCGTATCGTTAATGTATCGTGTCACTGGTAGCGTATTGATATACCAGTCAAATCAACCTTAATAACAGATCCTGGTGCAGTTCGGGTTTGATTCTGTTTTGGAACACAGTCACATTGCTCTTGCTGCTTACCTTGTCTGTGTTTTCTTTTTTTCTTAACTCATTCGCTGCCAGCTGTTTCCTGATCGCTAAAGCCCTTCGCTGCCAGCGTTTCTCACCATTTTCGCTGTTTTTTTAAGAGTGACAGAACGTTGCACGCTAGGATGATGTTGACGCCAAAACAACCAAAACAAAGCGGAGACTCACCTCTTACATCAGGAAGAATCCATGCGTTATCCGTTATCTTTTTTTAAGATCGTGTGTTAATGTTTTGCATAAACTTTTCTGTAGCCAACGTTGCCCTCTCTCCCCAGACGAGGACTGAACCCCCCACACAGAGTGAAGTCCATCTCGATGACCACATTCACGCAGCAGGAAATTGACCTCCTACAGAAACACGGAAACGAGGTAAGGAGCTTCAGTAACCTCGTCGGTACAGTCCAGAAGGTGGAATCTATTGGTTTTAGAAGTGAACTTTGTAAGAATTGAGTAGCGGTGACATCTTGTGGTCAGATTTGGTTACTGAAATTTCGGTTTCTGTGGTGTTGCCAGTTGGGGAAAGGAAACTAAAGTATATAAATGGTAAACGGCCTGTATTTGTATAGCGCCTTCTTATGCCTCATTTATTCTTCTCCGTGAACTCTGCAACAGAGAGACGCACACGGAGTGTCAGAAAGGTTTTCACATCTGAACTTCTGTTCAGGTAGCGTAGTGTTGCAAAGCAATTCCCTGCCAGGACAACAGAGGGCGTAGCGCTGTTCTGTGGTATCCTGCCACCATAAGGCTCATGTATCCGGTCCCCGATAGCATATTTACTAATGTGTTTATATATTTTAGAGACTTTATAACACAGACAAATTTATCCTTCGTTCTCCTTCACCTCTTCATGCGGTCACCACCTCCAAACCCACCTTTACCCTTGTTCCGTCCATGTTTGCTTCGTACTTTGTACTCGTTCACTAACGGGTGAATAAATGTTATTATTTTCTGACTTTTCCGTGATCTGTTCTTCAATCTGTTCTGGGTATACCACTAAATATGCTTTACTTTTTAATGGAGCTACAGTGGTGCTGGTGATGAATATACAGGAAGCGGCGTCATAACCAACCACAAGCTTGCGTTCTCCGTCACTTTCGACAGATGTTTAAAATTTTGGGCGTGTCTCCGTCAGCCTCTGTGAGCCTGTCGGAGAGCGCTTGCGCTGATGCATAATGGCGTTACGCGTCTCTGCACCGACGCAGACGGAGAAGTATAAATCAGGCTTTAGGGTTCTACTACCCCCCAAGGTGCTTCACAACACAATCAGTCATTCACACGCTGGTGGGATGAGCTACAGTGTAGCCACAATCAATCAATCAATCAAAACTTTATTAATCCCAGAGGGAAATTAGAGTTTCAGTACACACAATTCAGAGATCAGACACACATGGGGAAGACACATGACAAGAATTGGTGACTGTGGTCATTCACAACCTGAGTCGCGTTTCCTTGATAGAGATAAGAGGGTTACATGAGGATTGGTTCAGGTGGAGGGAAAAAATGGCACTTCACATTACCCTCCCACCACGAGGGCAGCTTTGCTCTGCAAAAAACACCTCAGACAGAAATACAACAGACTTCAGACAACACAACATGAGACTCCAATAGGAAGGCAGGGGGGGCTGGGATCCTGTTTCCCCCAGCAAGAGCAGCCATCTACGGCACTCGCCTACTGTACAGTCACAGGTGGGAAGGAGATCTCGGGAGAAGCGAAGAGTACATTGACTCCTACAGATTGAAGACCTCGCCAGGCTGAAGTCCACCAATCCGAATGTGTGTGTGTGTGTGTGTGTGTGGGGGGGGGGGGGGGGGGGGGTCAGGTTTTCACAGCATCTGTCTGCATTCCTTCGTGGGGGTTTGTTGCCGCTCAAGGCTGCCAGGGCGTCAGATTCAGATAACAAGAATTTGTTTGGGTCAGGCTGAGATAATTTTCCTCTCTGCCTTCAGTCTTTAAACTGATCATTCCAGTCCTTCAGTGAAGCCAATTGTGGGTTTTTAAACTTGTCCAACTGCCCAATTATAAAATCAGCATTCAAAAGCAGGATAATATAATATAATATAGTTATATATTAGCCTCTTGGGGCAGCAGTAGCTCAACCGGTTGAGCGGGTTGTCCAGTAATCGGAAGGTTGCAGGTTCGATCCCGGCTCCGGACAGAGAATTCTGCTGTTGTGTCCTTGGGCAAGACACTTAACCCACCTTGTCTGTTGGTGGTGGTCGGAGGGACCGGCGGCGCCTGTGCTCGGCAGCCTCGCCTCTGTCAGTGCGCCCCAGGGCAGCTGTGGCTACATCGTAGCTCATCACCATCAGTGTGTGAATGAGTGTGTGAATGGATGAATGATGCACTGTAGTGTAAAGCGCTTTGGAGTCCTGACTCTGAGAGGCGCTATACAAGTGCGGGTCATTTATGGGGTGGGTTCTACTGTTGTCTTTCAAACAATCTCCGCGTGCTACTTAATAATAAACAACACGACATACTCACCACTATGAATGTCTGTAAACTAGGCGGTCCGCTGTTGAAGAAGGCGAAAATACATCCCTTTTCAAAATAAAGGACCTAAATACATCTATCTGATCCTAATTCTAATAAAGCCCAAGTCCTAATAGTCTAAATTAGATGTAAAAGCCTTTCCAAATGAGCCGACGCCATCTTGTTCCACTCTGTTACATCATCTCGCCCACCAGACGATAGGAGGGCTCTGATTAGCCCACAAAGCGGATAGAACGCTGTGATTGGTCCACAAAGCCAATAGTGTATAGTATATACAACCTGTATGTTTTACATCAGAACATGGTTATTATATAATGAATATAGAAGGAATGATTTCATTTGGAGAACCACGACAAAAATAAAACATTCTGTAATTGTAAAAGCAAATGTGTACAATAAAAGGATAAAAATAACTGAATTAGATCAGAAGTCCGTATTTTGCTAATTGTACTGTGAGGAGCCAAATGAGGAACTAAATCTATGTTGGTCTGGAGACCTCAAGATTCCTCATAGAAGCTGGCAGTAGTTCCCACGATGAAGGAAGTCTGGTCTGTGGATGGGCGACTGCTTCCCCAGCAGGAGTATCCACCAATCAGAGGAGGATGGGTGGAGTCTTTATGCTGGAGGTAATGAAGCATACAAACATGATCATTTTACAACTTTACATCAGAAGGATGATCTAAATTATTGCCTCACAGCCATCATTTATTTAGAACATTATGAAAATATTTAAATTATGTTTTCAATCCAGCTTTGTGGAACAAAATGAGATCATCCTTGATGAAGACTGCAGGTGTGGCACGTTATGAATATTAAAGTCAAGTTTTCAATTCAAAAATTCTTTATTAATCTCAGACGGAAATTTTGTTTCTAAATTTATATTTGGGTAACACGGACTGATCAGCTATGTGCCATCTAATAATAAAGACTAGATAATCGCGTATCAAACAACTTTTAATTAACGTAGCCTGCTAATACAAATGCTGCAGTCAGATGGAGGTAGGCACCTAAAACCAAACATCAATTGTACACAAATATGATTTGTGCTAACAGTCAAGCTAAAAGTCTTTTTTCCCTACACAAGTTCACAGTGGGGAAAGTTAGCATTTCGACGTGTTCTGGAGAAAGTCCTGCTCTCTTTTTAGAGCAGATGTTCCCAGCTGCAGAGAAGATCCATTCTGATCAGTGAGTCGTGGAGGATGGCTGCTTACACTGAGCCAGGATTCTCTGGAGGTTTCTTCCTGTTAAAAGGGAGTTTTCCTCTCCACTGTCGCGGCATGCTTGCTTAGTATGAGGATTGTTGTATAGTCACTGACACTAGTCAGTGACTTGATGCAACCTGCTGGGTTCCTTATATAGGAAACATTATTTCTGATTGGCTTATTGAACTGACCTGAACTGGAATGTTTATTATGTGAAGTGCCTTGAGACGACTCTTGTCGTGATTTGGCGCTTTATAAATAAACTTGAATTGAATTGAATTGATGAGGTGGAAGTGGCCGGGGTGCACACAAAAGATTTAGCCAGCTGAGCTTAGTGTGTAAGTCTTTTCTGTGCGTGTGTGTGTGTGTGTGGGGGGGGGGGAACGACCCTCATTTTCACTCCACCAACTTAACTCACTCTTCACTCAGCAAGTGGCAGGACACACGAGCCAGGGTCAGCGAGCAGTTGACAGCTCTGAGGGTCTGCTTTACTTAAAGGTAAAATATATTAAACTTAGTTTATTTACCAAATAAAATATTCTGTTATATCAAACAAACTAGGCTAAAATGTAACACAGAGAAAACAAAACATTATGCTTTAACCAGTTTCTTGATTGCTCAGTCAGCAAACTCTTTATTTGATCACACACACACACACACACACACACACACACACACACACACACACACACACACACACACACACACACACACACACACACACACACACACACACACACACACACACACACACACACACACACACCTTCTCCAAGGTTATTTCATATTTATTTTCCATCATGGTGGTGAAGTGGGATGGGCCTGGTAGGTAGTTGTCGTGGTATTCTGGGTCGAAATGCATCATTATCTCTTTGAAACCTCGATCACCGACCATGGACAGGAGTCCCGTTTCCATTACCCACGTTAGCTTGCTGTGGTGTGCACGTGTTTGGCTTTGTAACAAACTCGTCCATCCAAGGGGCAGCAGTAGGTCAGGTGGTAGAGCGGGTTGCCTCATGATCGGAGGGTCATGGGTTCGATTCCAGCTCCCGCCAGGGGTATCCTGCTGTTGTGTCCTTGGGCAAGACACTTCACCCAACTTGCCTGTGTTAGTGGTGGTCAGAGGGGCCGACGGCGCCAAATGGCAGCCTCGCCTCTGTCAGACCTCCCCAGGGCGGCTGTGGCTACAAGTAGCTTACCATCACTAGCAGTGTGTGAATGTGAGTGTGTGTGAAAGTGTCTAGAAAAGCGCTATATAAGTTCAATGCATTATTATTTAACAGGAGGAGCGCTTTTTTTAACACTGTAACGTAGCGGGATAAAATAAATCATGAGCATTTGGAGCGTTAGGGCAAATACGTGTTCTAAAGGTAATAAAATCATCACTACTTTTGTTGCTACATCTATGAATACAAGTAACTCTCTGTTGATGTTAGCAGCTAACAAGAGGTGATTAGCTTACAGAGACGGTTCTTCCGTCTCCGCCATGACGCCGATGTGCCCCTGTGAACGTTTCTGTTATGGATGCCAGGCTGAGCTGCAGACTATCAGAAAACATCTCTGCAGATCAGCTCCCGTTCTCCTCCCTCCTGCCCTACCAGCTGCTCTCAATCAAGCAATCAGCCTGAGAGCGTAAACGAGGAAGCAGCCTGAAGACATGGGTAGAGGAGAGCTGAGCTGTTGTGTTCATACAGGTGCTGGCCAGTAAATTAGAATATCATCAAAAGGTTGAAAATATTTCAGTAATTCCATTCAAAACGTGAAACTTGTACATTATATTCATGCAATGCACACAGACCAATGTATTTCCGATGTTTATTACGTTTAATTTTGATATTTATAGGTGACAACCAATGAAAACATCAAATCTGGTATCTCAGAAAATTAGAATATTCTAAAGGCCAATGAAAAAATGTTTGTTTCTCTAATGTTGGCCAACTGAAAAGAATGAACATGAAAAGAATGTGCATGTATAGCACTCAATACTTAGTCGGGGCTCCTTTTGCCTCAATAACTGCAGTAATGCGGCGTGGCATGGACTCGATCAGTCTGTGGCACTGCTCAGGTGTTATGAGAGCCCAGGTTGCTCTGATAGTCGTCTTCAGCTCCTCTGCATTGTTGGGTCTAGCGTATTGCATCCTCCGCTTCACAATACCCCATAGATTTTCTATGGGGTTAAGGTCAGGCGAGTTTGCTGGCCAATCAAGGACAGGGATACCATGGTCCTTGAACCAGGTGCTGGTGGTTTTGGCACTGTGTGCAGGTGCCAAGTCCTGTTGAAAGGTGAAGTCTGCATCCCCATAAAGTTGGTCAGCAGCAGGAAGCATGAAGTGCTCTAAAACTTCCTGGTAGACGGCTGCATTGACCCTGGACCTCAGGAAACAGAGTGGGCCAACACCGGCAGATGACATGGCACCCCACACCATCACTGACGGTGGAAACTTTACACTGGACCTCATGCAACGTGGATTCTGTGCTTCTACGCTCTTCCTCCAGACTCTGGGTCCTTGATTTCCAAAGGAAATGCAGAACTTGCTTTCATCAGAAAACATAACTTTGGACCACTCAGCATCAGTCCAGTCCTTTTTGTCCTTGGCCCAGGCGAGACGCTTCTTGCGCTGTTTCTTGTTCAAGAGTGGCTTGACACACGGAATGCGACACCTGAATCCCATGTCTTTCATGAGTCTCCTCGTGGTGGTTCTTGAAGCGCTGACTCCAGCTGCAGTCCACTCTTTGTGGATCTCCCCCACATTTTTGAATGGGTTTGTCGTCACAATTCTCTGCAGGGTGCGGTTATCCCTAGAGCTTGTACACTTTTTTCTACCACATTTTTTCCGTCCCTTCGCCTGTCTGTTAATGTGCTTGGACACAGAGCTCTGCGAACAGCCAGCTTCTTTAGCAATCACCTTTTGTGTCTTGCCCTCCTTGTGCAAGGTGTCAATGATTGTCTTTTGGACAGCTGTTAAGTCAGAAGTCTTCCCCATGATTGTGGTGCCTTCAAAACAAGACTGAGGGACCTTTTAAAGGCCTTTGCAGGTGTTTTGAGTAAATCAGCTGATTAGAGTGGCAGCAGGTGTCTTCTATATTCAGCCTTTTCAGAATATTCTAATTTTTTGAGATACCAAATTTGGAGTTTTCATTAGTTGTCACTTATGAATATCAAATTTAAATGTAATGAACATTGGAAATACATTGGTCTGTGTGCATTGCATGAATATAATGTACAAGTTTCACGTTTTGAATGGAATTACTGAAATATTTTCAACCTTTTGATGATATTCTAATTTACTGGCCAGCACCTGTACATGCCCTACTTGGTCGGTTTTGCTCTTGTACAGAGTTTTATAGGATCTTTGGGATTAACGTAGTCTTGTGGACAATTGTTTACTTTGAGTGCTCTTAGGAGTTTAGTTTGCTTTTCCCTAGACTAGAGTGATTTTGGTTCAGGCTTAAAGTACTCTGTTAAGGTTAACCATTATTTCTTCATTCCTCTTAAAGTAGCAGTCTTTAGCTACTCTAGTTTAGATTGACTCTTTTAGTTTTGTTAAATTTTAAAAGTGAGAGTCTTTAGTTTAAATCAATCTTCTTGTGATTGGTGGAGCTTTGCTCCATACTCTTGAGTTTCTTGTGTTTTGTTATCATTTCTACTTTAAAACAGTTAGGTGTAGTATTGACCTACTTTAGTTATTGGTGGAGTGTTACTCCATACTTTTGTGTTTATCTTTGTTTTAACAAAAGAAAAAACGTTTACTTTTAATAACATCACATGTCTCTTATGTTGCGACATTGCACTTTTACTACCTCTGGTCGTAACGTAAATGGGGGCTTGTCCGGCATACTCAACCATCCCAAGAAGAACTTTTAATGGCGTGTGCTTTTTGCAAACAGATTTTATTTGTAGGATTTTAAGATGTGTGGTCAGCTGTGTCCTCTCTGGTATTGTGAATATGTCCTTCTGTTTTACTCTGTTGTGCTCGTGAAGTCTTAAGGTGAACAGAGTGAATTTTCTATAGGCTGTAGGGCCACTCCCTCTTTAGGATGCGTCCTGGTTTTGTTTTTTGGAGGTGAATAACACATGCAACATGGAGGTGGTGTTGAAGACTTGGCAATTCGGCAGGCTCAAATATGATTGGCTCTGGAACCATGAAGAATAAGGGTCATGCTGTTTGTTAACAAAGAGGCCGTCACAACCCGGCCATTTTTGAAAACAGAACCTGGCATTCTCCCTTCTTGTCATTGTAACCTTCCCTGCAGTGTGATAAACACATTGGACTTTTTGTGACTATTTTACTGTCCAGTTCTTACATGTTTCACCTTTAACATGTCCTTCCTACGTACACCCTTCCCCCAGGTCTGTAAACACATCTGGTTGGGCCTCTATGATGACAGGACATCAGTTGTTCCAGATTTCCGAGAGCCACAGAAAGTTAAAGAGTTTCTTCAAGAAAAATATGAGAAGAAAAGATGGTAAGTTTTTCCCATAATTCTCCCTATTAGAGCATTCCTTAAATGTTCCAAATCACGAAATATCTACTTTTTAGAGCTTTTTACCATGTTATATTGTCATTTCTTCATGAGACACCTGCCCCAACCTGTTTTTACCTGCATTCATGCATTTTCATGCCTCAGCTTCGGTTTGGTCCATACAAAGAAATTTCCTGTATCCAGGAGAGAGTCGCATCACCGGGCATCTCTCACCCTGAAGCTGGTCTGGTCTCGGTTATGAAACCTGGATATTCTGACAAATTACTTCTACGTTGGAGACAAAACACTGCCATAAAAACCATGCATCCTGTCTACAAAGATGCACGTGATGGCCACACAGTATGGTGTTGGGCAACAATGACTTCATAACAGACTCGATTGTCTCAAGACTCAATAACACTCATCTTAGTCAAAACAACACATAAATATATCCAGTAAAATATAATGCATTTCATTAACATGCATTTGTAGTGGAAATGGTAATAACTAGGGCTGGGACTTGATTAAAAATTTTAATGTAATTAATTAGAGGCTTTGTAATTAATTAATCTAAATTAATCGCATTTTAATCGTTCAGGAAAATGTGCTCTCAAAGTAAAACTTTAAATTAAAATTATGAGACAGAGAATCAAACATTAGACATGGTTATTACTGTAAACTAAAGCTTTTAATAAAAATATGCATTTTAATTATTCAAATGTCACTGTGTGATATGAAACAAGACCCAAATCAACTAAAAATTATAATTACAGATAGAAAACACCTGCAAAGGGTTCCTGAGCCTTTAAATAGTCTCTCTATCTAGTTGAATGACTGAAATAAATTTGACTTTGCACCAGATTCTAATTTTTCCAGTTTTACTTGTTTGTATAATTGGGAGTTTTTATTAGCATTTCTACTCATAATGTAGTAAAAACACATAAATAATAATCCTTCAAAATGACAGTAGAACAGGCACAAATATGATCTAGGACTTAAATGTACTAACTTTTAACACCAGAGCAGGCGTGGCATATTCTGAGAATGATCAGGAACACTAACTGGTTCCAGTTGGATGACTGGAGGATGATGGGATGATAAAAGATCATGGCGAGGAAATAATGATGTGACGAACAGGTGAGCGGACCTTCCTTACATGGGAAGTCCCGATGTCATGTTAAGAAGGGGATGCTGCAGACCCGCAGATTCACGCCTGCAGCAGCGAATCTGGTGTGATCTCCAGCCTGATCACAACTTCCTCGTTCCTCGCTGCCCCTGATGCACTTAAGCATCCGCCCCTTAGCTGATGACAGCTTCAACACACCTCACTGCTTAATGATAGTAATGCATGTGATGTTTAGACAGAGACTCGTCTCAGAAACGTATACCTCCCCGACAGAATTGTTTAGAAAATCATCAGAAAAGTTTCAGTGTTTCTGTTTTAACTTAAACTTCTGTTTTCAACTTTAAGACACGTTGTTTGTGATTGTTTAGAGTAGTGAGAACACGGAGCGTTCTCCCAGCGGCAGCCAGGTGCCTCTCGTGTGTCTGACTACTTTCATAAACTACTGTTAGGGCACAGAATTATTCTGTCTGGTGCTTTCAGCGCTGCACAGATGTTACGTAAATGTTAAAAATATAGCTTACCGCAACTTTTATAAAGTTCCCGTTGCCACCGGGCAGCCGAAGCAGAGACGATCTCTGAAAAATGTCCGCGACACGGACTCCGTTGTTGTCTGGAAGGTTTTTTTTTCAAGTTAAGAAAAGAGGCGGACGTGTTTCTAAATCCTGCATCAATTCAAGCAAGGCAACTTCCTTCTGTTCTTATTCCATTTTATTAGCCATTAGCACTGTGCATTGTTGTGTGCGTCAGTGATATTCAGTCTACGAGGAAGTCGTGCAATGACAAAGGTCGTGCTCGAAATGCAAAATTAAATGCATGAATTTTTTTAACGCATCATTTTTTCTAATTAATTAATCATAATTAACGCGTTAAATAAAAATGTTTTAGCCTAGTCTTAAAAGTGAACAAGGTGTATGCCTAACGGACTAAAGCTGGGAGTTGGTTCCACAAAAGAGGAGCCTGATAGCTAAAAGATCTGCCTCCCATCCTATTTTTAGATACTCTGGTAACCACCAGTAAACCTGCAGTCTGAGAGCGACATAATTCTTTTTTCTTTTTTTTAAAGGGTTGGGGTTGAAAAAGCTTGATTTCTCAACAGCTTTTGTGAAGTTTTTTATGGCTTTTTTTATATAATCAGTTGAAAAATGTTTTAAAAAATCATTTAAACCTCAAATTAGGAAATTCCAACATTTTTTTTGTAATAAGTGTACCAAAAAACCACTTGACCATCCAGCAGATCATTCTTCCAGTTTTAGCTTATTGCTTAAAGAAAACAAACAAAACAAAAATGTTGGAGTACAAAAACAAGTGTTTCTTGCCAGAGTATTTTATAAATAACTGAGTTAATGCAAAATGAAATTACTTCTCAATACCATCTGAACTTAAACTGAGCAGTGTCATTAAACTGCACACTTTGCAGTAAACAATTGTCTGAGAAGAAAAGCGCAAAAAAGAAAAAAAAGGGTTTCTTTTAAAAATGTAAACATTACGACATTAATTGCAGCTGCCTATTTGAAGCTTACTTTAGCGTATATAAACGTATATTTAGCAACATAAACTACATAAACCCGAACTGAACTCTCACACATTCATTCTTTAATGACCCTAGTCATTATCTTGTTTATTTAAACTCTGCATTTTGAGCATTCATGCAAAATCAAATGATGCAGGGAAAATACGTTTAAAAAACAAAACAAAATACCATAAGCTAATTTGGGCTCAATGTCATCCACGTCCTCCAAAAAACCTTCCGCCTCTGTGCCCATTTCAAATTGTGGTATAAGAACACCAAAGCTTGGTGACAGATCTTCTGCGACTTGAAAGCACCACATTGTAGATCCATTTGGTAAATGGTCTGTATTTGATATAGCGCCTTCTAGAGTCCTGGAACCCCCCAAGGCGCTTTACAACACAATCAGTCATTCACCCATTCACACACACATTCACACACTGGTGGGGATGAGCTACGATGTAGCCACAGCTGCCCTGGGGCGCACTGACAGAGGCGAGGCTGCCGAGCACTGGCGCCACCAGTCCCTCCGACCACCACCAGCAGGAAGCTGGGTTAAGTGTCTTGCCCAAGGACACAACGACAGCGACAGACTGAGTGGGGCTCGAACCTGCAACCTTCCGATTACGGGGCGAGCGCTTAACTCCAGCATCTGCATAGTTAATGACAAACTCTTTGTACCTTTTTGCCCAAATGCTCAACACTGGAAGTCTATCCTGCAGCATAGACTGCAGCTTTGAGCGATGCTGACCCGAGGTGGCCAAAGTAAACATTCTTCATTGTTGTATGTTTGTTCCACAGTGTTGAGGATCTGTGCCTTTGTGGCAAAAGCTAGATCTAGCCCCTCAAAGTAGTAGCCTGGCCTGCCAGACTCCTCCTCTGTTTAATTCTGCACAGAGAAAGGGTCTAACCCCGCCCCCTGAGAATTCTAACCGAGCCAATCACTGAGTAGCGTACGTCACACACCATAACGCAGTTTGTCATAAACATATGGGGAGGAAATGTTTCAAAAGATTTGTGTGTGTGTGTGTACCTAAATTTGTGTGTGTGTATCGATATTTGTGTGTGCGTGACTAAAGATTTGTGTGTGTGTATCGATATTTGTGTGTGCGTATCGATATTTGTGTGTGCGTGACTAAAGATTTGTGTGTGTGTATCGATATTTGTGTGTGCGTGACTAAAGATTTGTGTGTGTGTGTGTTGATAGCCATTTGCATAGAGAAACGCCCTCAAGTAACCATATTTGGTCACGCTACATTCTCAGTACGAGGTGATTCGCTGTTATTTTTTATTTTTTGCCAGGAAAAAATAAAAACTTTATTGACGATGAGACTGAAACACTGGCTGCCGAAGCGCAACAGAACCAAACCAGTTACAGCGGTTAAAAACGTGGTTGGGACAGAGGAGAGGCTCCTGTCAGAAATAAATCAAACAAATGGGTTTGATAAACCGCAGAGTAACAGGTTGTCGTTCTGTTTGGAGTTAGTTTAGCTTGGAAATGTTGTCCGAGTGCAGCCTCTGAGCTGTCATTCAGTCTGGTTACCATGGCAACGCGGCGTGTATGATCGGGTAGCAGAGGAGGTTCTGGGGGGTTCTCGTAGTTGTAAAATAAAATATGAACTGGAACCGGACTTGCGTGGTTTATCTGTTGCTCTACGAAGGATCCAGAAGCACAGCATAGCAGGATTTCCTTTCAGATTAGTGCGCTCACGGAGAACCCTCCAGAGAGCACCTTCTGGTGAATCCTCCCATAACACAGATCAGCCATGAGATAACATCAGATTCCCGTCGGTCACAGGTGTCTTTTATTGGTTTTAGCACCAATTATAAGAAAAAGACGTTTGTCCACTGACAAAATTACATGCTGGATAAATAAAATTTGTGGACGAGAAACATCTGGATGACTGAGACCTTCGGTACTGCGCTTCCCCGTTCTGTCACTAGATGCTGTGTGTACACACGATCTGAGAAATACGCCCAGATCTGTGCGGAAGTACGTTTGATTCATGAGGCCCCAGGTTTAATCTGGGATCAAATAGCAAAAGATCAATAATATTGATTATTCACCTTTATTCAATTCAATTCAAGTTTATTTATAAAGCGCCAAATCACGACAAGAGTCGTCTCAAGGCACTTCACATAATAAACATTCCAATTCAGGTCAGTTCATTAAGCCAATCAGAAATAATGTTTCCTATATAAGGAACCCAGCAAATTGCATCGAGTCACTGACTAGTGTCAGTGACTATACAGCAATCCTCATACTACGCAAGCATGCAGCGACAGTGGAGAGGAAAACTCCCTTTTAACAGGAAGAAACCTCCAGAGAATCCTGGCTCAGTATAAGCAGCCATCCTCCACGACTCCCTGGGGATGGAGAAGACAGAGCAGGCACACACACGCACGCACGCATGCACACGCACGCACGCACACACACACACACACACACACACACAAAGTAACCGCGTACATCACACACACACACAAAGTAACCGCGTACATCACATTGCATTAAGATAGGTTAGGCAAACTGGAATCACTAAAATAAGTGTAAGTCTTTGTTGATCCACACAAGCATATAAATGTGTGTGTGTGTGTGTGTGTGTGTGTGTGTGTGTGTGTGTGTGTGTGTGTGTGTGTGTGTGTGTGTGTGTGTTAATACATGTATGAAATTACTTGATGTGAAATACTCGCGGTGATTGTAAAACTGATTATTTCTCAGACCATATTCGTTGCAACCTTATCTCCAGGTATGTCCCTCCAGACCAGGTGAGGGCAGTAGCGAGTGTTCAGGCCTCCGTCTCTGGTTCCTCAGCGAGCAGCACTGGTAGTACCCCGGAGGTCCATCCCCTGAAAACCCTGCAGCTCAGCAAGACGCCGCCGCGCCGGGTAAGGACACGCCTCCGTTCTTCTGAGTGAAAACCATCTGGTTTCTGATCCAGCGCCTCTGGTCCAGTCTCCAGGACTGGGTCGCCCCCAGGCTCATGCTGCCGTCCAGGAAAAGACACTCGACTTGCTCTCGGACCTGGGTGGAGACATCTTCGCTGCTCCGTCAACTCAAAGTGCAGGCTCTTCCAACTTTGCCAATTTTGCACATTTTCCGAGCCAGACGGGTACGTCCAGGATTCTCTTGATCACCTCTTGTGTTACCCTTCATCCCATGCCATTCCCTGCCATCTGTTTGATTTCCACATCCTTCCTCTGAGTTCTGCTTCCCTCCTGAATGGCTGCAGCTCCTCCGGCTAACCCAAACACCAACTTTGCCAACTTTGAAGCTTTTGGAAACTCAACCATTCCATCCCATCTGAGCACATCACCTCCCCTTTCACCAGGTATCACCCCCACCCCACCCCAACACAACACACACACCCTATCTATCCCCCCATCCTGCTCACACACACACACACCTTATCTATCTGCAGCCCAGCCTTTCCTAATGTGCATGAAGGTAACTCATATCCTCCTTGTCCTGATGATGGTGTGTGTTGAAAGGGGGCGGAGTTACTGTTCCGTCCATGGCCGGTGCCGTGGCTGCACGCTCCCAGACAGGAAGGTGCACAGAGGACCGCTACGCCGCGCTGGCCGAGTTGGACAGTGAGCTCAGCTCGTCTGTGTCCACGGGCAGCAGCGTCCAGGGGTGAGACACACACACGCTTGGTCCGGTCCCGGTGAAGCTGTTGCATCAGCTTTGCTTTCTTCACAGGACACTGTTTGGACCCGTGCTCGGTTCGTCCCCAGCTCAGAACCCGTCGGTGTTGGCCGGCATGCAGCCTGGATTTGGAGGTGATTTCAGAACCGAGACACCATGTAGCACGTCGTGACTCGTAGCTAGAATGCTGACTGTGGTTGTCTTACCCAGCCGTGCCGTCCACCAACCCCTTTGTGGCTGCGGCGGTAGTTCCAGACATGGCCACCAACCCCTTCCAGACCAACGGCAGAGCGCCACCTGCAGGTCTGAAAGTTGTTGGCTTCTACTGATGTGTAGCTTTGATGTAACTAAGATACATGGACCAGTAGTTCTGTGATGCATCAGCACATTTAAAGTGTGTGTGTGTGTGTGTGTGTGTGTGTGTGTGTGTGTGTGTGTGTGTGCGCGTGCACGTGCGTGTGTGTCTTGTAGCCTCTTTTGGTACTGGCTCTATGAGCATGCCCGCCGGCTTTGGGAATGCCTCTTCCTTCTGCCTCCCGACTAGTTTCAGCGGAAACTTCCAGCATCAGCTTCCCGGCCCGGTCCCCGTCCCTTACTCTCAGCTGGGGGCCTACCACCCTCAGTCTAATGGTCAGTGGCCCATCCCTTGTCCTTCTGCGCTGCTGCACCTGTGCAGCACCTGCCGTGCATTCCAGTCACAAACTGAGCTTTTTCCTGCCATCCTGGCATCTACTTCCTGTCTGGATGGAAGCTGCTGGCAGCTGCTGCACAGAGAAACGGTGCATTCAGGGTGCAAAGTGTTAGCGGTGTGTTCTAGTCCAGACCCGAGCACACCCGAGGCTTTGTTCGTGCCTGAATGCAGCGTGGCCTGCTGGAGTTTCACACTCTGCTTCTTCTGTCCCTCCTCCTTTACACACGTTAGACGGAGCTTTCTGCCACGTTAAAGTAAAACTGGACAAGTTAGAGTTGGAACCCTTGAGTCAGGTTCCACCAGTACCTGCTTTCACTGACATTCGTCTAATCTGTGCGTTTGGATTGTGCTTCCATTGGTACCAACTATCAGCTATAGCTCAAATTTTCAGAACCGTCCTCTGAGGCGCTGCGTTAGCTCCGAGTAGGCACCATGATGCATGTTCACAAGGCTGTCGATCACTGATTGGCTAGGGGGTGGAGTGACTGGTTGCTGGTCTGACACTGGTCTCACAGCTACCAGCTAAAGTGGTTAAAAAATAAAAACAAAGCTCTGTTACCGACACGACGGAAGGAGCGGGTCAGACCGGCTGAAGCTGAAAGTGGTTTAAGAGCAACGGCAGCATGCTGGGCACCTCCAGACTCCACAAGGATGCTGGTGAGTGTTCCGACTTTAGTTTTAATCGAAGTTGCTAATCCCATCGGCATATTTTTGACCAAACAAAAAAAGGCTGGCCCCACGAAGCCTGAAGCTAACTAGCATCAATGCTAACAAAGCTATTGTCTGCATGAGTCGCCTGCAGAACAGCGGCGCGCGTCTTAAATGCCTCCACCCAGAGTCGTCGTCTCTGTTGCAATGGAAGCACAACGCTCACGTCTAGTGTGGACTAGATTAAACTAGATTACTGTTGTCGTGCAAAGCAGCCGCCAGCAGCGTTGGAACAACTCCTGAGTTTAGGATGTTCTTTGCAGCCGTTCGCATGAATGTGACCTTTCACACTAACTTCTGCAGGAATGTTAAGTTCTTGCCAGAACTGAGCGATGGATGCACCAGAAAGGCCGTGTTCAGACCTGGTCCACACGGTATGAAGGTTCTGGTCCGACTGTGTGTGCGGTGGAATCACAGCAAACATCAACCATCACTGACCGAGACGGGCCAGGCTGTGGATGTAGATAAAAATCCTGTCACGATAACTTCTACCGGAGTTGTCCGACAGTCGTGTAGGATAAATGAAAACGCAGCCGGAGACACCGAAGTATAAAATCTCCTTTTAGTTGTTTTAAGGCTGAAGGAGAGTAAAAAAAAAAAAAACCCTTTAAATCCTCAGCACGTTAAAACTTTTACTAGCCGTTAGCTCGTCAGTCCTGTCCTAATTAAACCAATTTTCCAAACTGGGGCTGTTCAGGAAGCTAAAGTGCCGAAATGCTTTAAAGTGGCAGAAAAGTCAGGTTTGCAGGACTAACTGGTGTTTGTGGTTCTTTGACCCGTTTCCCTTACTGATCCGTAGGCCCAGCGTTCCCAGTCTATGGTCAGAACAAGCCCTTTGGGCAGCCCGTGGTGGTCCCTGGCACGTCCAGTAACCCGTTCATGGTGAGCATGTGAAACGCGCCCAGAGGGAGTGTGTGAGGTGTGCTGGTGCGTCGGGACTCATTCTGGACTCCTTCCTTTTCCAGGCAGGAGCGCCAGCTGGCTCGTTCCCTTCAGGAAGTTCATCCACCAACCCCTTCCTGTAGCGCAGCCCGTGGCCTCTGCCACCAGAGGGCAGCGTGCGTCAGGCCTTCAGCACACGGCTTCACATTTCATGCAGAACTTTCTGTGGAGGGGCAGTGGTGCACTGTTACATGATCTGTTCTGTGTGCTCTCACTCCTCCCGCCTGTCATGTATCACCCAATCACACGATGTCTGTCAAGGACCGAGCTCCCAGAACAGGAATATTCATATTTCCATCCTAATCCACGGTGGATTACGCCGGCGTTTTAAAAGACATCACGTTGTTTTATTAGACACGTATTATTTACCCTGATTGACGCTATAACTGTACACTACCGGAGCTTCGGCTCTGACCCAAGGCTGCCGGACCTCTACACCAGCTTTGGCGGGTCGGATTAGAGCTGAATTTTGAGCCGCTGTTGTTTTTAGTGTAACGAGTAAAGGGAAGGTGTCGGCGCTCCGTTAAGCCCGCTGCTGACAAAGACGGGGACGACCGCAGGTCCAGCTTCACCGTCCTCCCGTAGAGGCTTTCAGAAGACCGTAGAGAAGTTCTGTCTGTGTCCAGATCATGTGAGGGACGAGAACGGGATGGACCCACGGTTCTGGAGGACTCAAACGTGCCACCCTGGACCAAGCACAAGCTTCCCGTTTTTACAGGAATACCCAAGTCTGTACAAATATAAATATATGTATAAATAAAGGATTTTTAAGTACGGTTGTTCCGTCTTTATTCCTGACAAACGGAGCTTCTCCTCACAAAGATGCTTTCAGGGCTGCGAGTAAAGTAATCCTGCAGCTTCGTCTCTATACTGGAATTCTGGGAATGTTGGAATTAAACAGAAATTTTATACATTAATTATTTATTTCCATTGTTGCCCCTAAATTAGGCCTCTGGAGCCACGATGGTGAAAAATAATGAACAACCAACTCTTGTTATGTAGCTATAAAAATGCAGGTTTTTTTATTTAATCGTTTCCTTGAATTTACCACAAATGTCTGAGAAAAGTTGCCTGAACTCTTCTTTATTATCCTTATTTTTACAACCTTATAATTCGTCGTCGTCTTCCTCCGCTTATCCGGGTCCGGGTCGCGGGGGGAGCATCCCAACTAGGGAGCTCCAGACCGTCCTCTCCCCGGCCACCTCCACCAGCTCCTCCGGCAGGACCCCAAGGCGTTCCCGGACCAGATTGGAGATGTAACCTCTCCAACGTGTCCTGGGTCGACCCGGGGGCCTCCTGCCGGCAGGACATGCCCGAAACACCTCCCCAGGGAGGCGTCCAGGAGGCATCCAGACCAGATGCCCAAACCACCTCAACTGGCTCCTTTCGATGTGGAGGAGCAGCGGTTCTACTCCGAGTCCCTCCCGAGTGTCCGAGCTCCTCACCCTATCTCTAAGGCTGAGCCCGGCCACCCTACGGAGGAAACTCATGTCGGCCGCTTGTATCCGCGATCTCGTTCTTTCGGTCATTACCCAAAGCTCATGACCATAGGTGAGGATTGGGACGTAGATCGACCGGTAAATCGAGAGCCTGGCTTTCTGGCTCAGCTCCCTCTTCACCACGACAGATCGGCTCAGCGCCCGCATCACTGCAGACGCCGAACCAATCCGCCTGTCGATCTCCCGATCCCTCCTACCCTCACTCGTGAACAAGACCCCGAGATACTTAAACTCCTCCACTTGAGGTAGGACCTCTCCCCCGACCCGGAGGTGGCAAGCCTAATAATAGAAACAAATATTTCTAATCGGTACAGAAGATTTCTGCCTTTAGTCTCAGAGAGAAGTCAGAATCCAGATTTTAATCTCAGAATTTGCAGGAAAAAATCCTTTTCAGAGCTCTTGTGACGTGTTCTGAGCTCCGAGTCGGTTTTATTTTGGCGTCTGCCATAAATGAAGAAAAGGTTTTCGTGGCATCCGTGTTACTGTGGAAGTTAAGCGGTTAAAACGGTGTGAAACCAGACTGAGGTAAGGATTAATCAGTTTCCCTCTGGGATCAATAATAATGTATTTTTGAACTGAAGTGAATTGAGGAGGTCTGCTTAAAGGTCAGAGAAGCTGCTCCTCAGCCTTGGTGTCTGGGTTAGAGGAGCTGAGGCCGCTGCCTGAGGGAAGGAGGGTGGCCCACCTGTATGAGGCACAAGCTCCCAGATTACCTCTCCGCTACCTCCCTGACCTGGAATCAGATGAAACCTCTGGCCTCTTTTCATCCACTCAGCGGGCTTAAGCGCTTCACTGACACCATGATCCATTTACAAGCTAACACGCCGTCCCGAGTCAACGCCGCCACGCCCCCGAGGTTCGGGTTCTCGGTCTGCATCTGCCTCCATGAGTCTGGTGTAAAGAGTGTGTGTGGAGGCCTGTAGCGATGACCCAGCATGACTGTCACCAGCATGACACGTAAGCCCTCAGGTCTAACGGGCGCTGATCTCTCCAGGGGGACGTGATCTCTGCCCTTTCTGAGAGCAGAGATCTAAGTTTAGAGGTCATGAGGAGCAAGCAAAGCCGTTGATCTACTGACGGCTTGAGACTATTTAGGAAAGGATTAGGTGATACTATCCCAGCTCCATCGTGCTGGTCTGGAAGGACGGCTTCCTGCCGGGAACACATGAACATGTATCATAAAAGCTGCTTTCCATGTGCCGCCTCCTGCTGGGAGTCCCAGCATCACCACGTTCATCTTCAAAGTCTGTGGGATCACAGAAGAAAAGGAAACGAGTGTAATCATCTCAATCCCGCCGGATTAGGATTTAGATCCACTAAAAGGGTCTAGTTCTAGAGCATTTTTGGTGATGTTCGTGCTGATCCAGTGGTAGGGTGTGGGGCCGATCAGGAGGAAGCTCCTGGCACCAGGACACTTGAGTGAGTCTTCTGGTGTGAAAGCCGTTACTGGATGCTCAACGCAGGAACCTCCAGAAGAGCCTAGAGTTAGCTTGTTTCTGTTCCGTCTGCGATTCTGTTTGCATCACCACCTGATGGCTTCAGTTCAGCTTTTCCCTCCGACACTGATCTAATGTCCCTGGATTGTTCCCGCCCTGCCCAGCCTCTCCGACTCCGGCCGTGTGATGACCACGGTTTACGGTCCTGGATGTTTGAGGCTTTCCCCACAGAGAGGGGAGGAGCACGGAGCTGCTAGAGCAGGACTCTGTAACAGAACCTCTGTAGGTGTGCCAGGCTCTTTAAACCCCACACAAGCGTTTCGCCTGGCTTTTGGCCGGTCAGCCTTTTCATTCTGCATCTGCTTTTACTGGCTGATGTGATCTTACGTGTTTTTACTCTTACGAGCGTTCCACGTGCATGAAGGTGGACTTCACCTTGTGTTTTTTATGTTTGATGCCTTTACTCTTTAGTCAGCTGTTTTAAATGTGCCATACAAATACACTTGTTATGGTGTGGTGACCAAAGTGTGTCTTTGGACAAAAAATATCAAAACTAATCCATGATATTAACTTTAGATGTAAAAAGTGTGGGTTTAAACTGGGACGAGGCTGTGGTTCATTAGAGCGTGCACGGCACTAGAACATCTGTCCAGCTGCTGCCCCACGTGGCTGAGCAGCCTCCTCATCCCTAACGAAGACTGCAGACCTGGCATCCTTTGGTCGATGAAAGAAAAACCCACAATGGTCACAGAAATAAGAATCTGACAGTCATAAACAGAAATATTATGAAATTTAACCATCAACAGTCACACACCGTCAACCATGCTTCAGCAAAAGATACTAAATAAACTCATGCCTGGACACAAACGGTCTGTCTGCAGGGGCGCAGACAGGATTTTCAAAATGGGGGGACAATGTTCCAATGTCCCCCACCCCCCTAAACACACACACTCACACGCATGCACGTACACATACACAAGCTATTGCAAGAGCCTTAACTAGAGCTCAGTCAGTTTGTGTAATTTCCTCCAACGGTTTACGTAAAAACTAACTTTTATATACGTGTTTGAAGCCGTTATGCACCAAAGCTCTGCCTGATCAGCACTATAAATGATAAATGACCCGCACTTGTATAGCGCCTCTCAGAGTAAGGACTCCAAAGCGCTTTACACTACACTGTATCATTCATCCATTCACACACACATTCACACACTGATGGTGATGAGCTACGATGTAGCCACAGCTGCCCTGGGGCGCACTGACAGAGGCGCCCCACTATTTAATTCAGTCATTTGTTGTTCTCCCAATCATGAAATGATTTTCAGCGTACCGATCTTTTCAGAAAACATAAAAGCCCTAAAAAACTGTGCATAAATATATTTAAACAACAATATTCACTTATCACTTAGAGCAGTAGTTCCCATCAGCCTGACCAACAGATGTTCCTTCTTATTTTTACGTAATTTAGAAATTTTTCATTATATTTGGAAAATTTTCATTTATATATAAATATATAAATCTCTTTTTAAATGTTATATTTTACCTTTTTTATGATTATGTGGCACACTTGACTTCCATACATAACGCATCTGCCCTTTTTCACGGCTTTTTTTTTACATTGTCGCTACGTCTGTCACGTTAGCGGTGTTTTACCATCATTTCTACATCCATCACGTCCCAGAGAAGGTTAAACCAACACCAAACCCAACGTCTGGAGCTTGTAAACTCCACACACCTCTCGTGCAGCACCGGCTGTCTGATGCTGCAGCAGCGTCGATCTTCCCGGCTGGATGAGTGAATTTCGTCATCAGAGTCAATATTCTGCTTCATAATCAGAGTCAGTCATGACCAGACAAAGTGATCAGTCAACAAAGACCAGACCTGCCGGCAATTATACGTTTTATCTAATATTTGCGCTCTTCATGCTGCACGCATCTCCTCCTCTCCCCGACTGGGAGCCTCTCGGCGGGAGGCGATTTTCAAACTCTAAAAACTCCCAAACTTTGCTCAGCCTGAAGGTTCCACATCTCCACTATCTTCTGGTGTAAAGTAGTAACTTCATGAGGGATCATATTTGTAGATGAGACTTGTTAAAGTCAGCAATGAGGCTTTGGCGTTTATAACGAGTAAGTCCCAACACTGACAACAACGTACTGAAACTAGAACCAACACGCATAAACAGACAGATCGGTCCCGCCTACTTACACTGTTGGTCTTTTTTAAACACGCAGTAATCGTTGCTTCATCCTGCATCCTAGCAGCAACCACTATGGTGACTCTGGAGTCAGTGTTCGTTTACATCATGCTGCATTCAATGTAATTGGAAAAAGGATCTTCAAGCGCTTGACCTCCAATTTTGTTTTCTTTCTGGCCTTAGTTGGGGGGGATCGGGGTCTATCTGAATCGGGGGGGGGGGGGGGGGGGGGACATATCCCCCCTGTCCCCCACCCTATCTGTGCGCCTGCCCTGTTGTCATTGAGGCCGGATTATCCAATGGGCAAGCTAGGCACAAGCCCACTAGGGGGCCCATGCCCACTAGGGGGCCCATACCAGCAGTCTAAAGATGGACCAAAAAAAAACTGCCATCAAATTTCAGATTTATCAGATATAGCTGTCTGTAGGAACCGGCAGGGGGGCAGGTGGGATGTGTCTCCCCTAATATTAGAAAACACGCCTCTCCCCCTCAATAACATGGTGAAAGTGGATTTAGACATATTTCACTTGTGCACGTTTACTTTGAAGGGCACATGGGTCTCCTCACTGACAAAGCCCCGCCCCTCAGGTCCCGACAGGACAGGAGACGGAGTTTAAAAGACAGCAGCAGCTCAGTTTAATCGAGAAAGAATGTAAGTTGGTAGTCATTGTCCCCTGGAAGATGATCGTAATTTTCTAGAACGTTAGGGTGTTTAAACATCTTGGTGTGACTTAAACACCAACGTTACTAGCAAACATGGAGCACTTTTCAGCAAGAGACTAAAGTCATTTGACACCAAATATAAAGAACAACCTTTTCTTTTGACTTGACCCACATGACTATAAACTTAGTAACGTTACACATCTCTCACGTTAAAAATTGAGTTGGTGTGATTTTTCCTTGTTTGAGACATTCCTTTCAGTATTTATTTTTAAAAGTTATCGTCCTCGTCAGATGACGTATCGGGTGCTGTAGCCCGTTGCATGATGGGATAGCTAAGTATATAGACAAAGGAAGCGTTGGTTGCTTTGTGTTGTTGTTAGCTTTTAAACCTGCAGAAAATGGTACACTCCTGATGTGTGAAGGGCTGCCATGCCGTCTTCACAAAAAGGCAAAAAAGTGAAATGTAGGCTGGAGTCGCGTTAATGGGATAGTCTCCATATTTGACCATTTATTTTGACGGAGAAATCTCAAGGCTGTTGGTGATTCTGACTGGAATTACCTGACACATGCAGGCGCGCAGACGTTTCAAACGTAGCGCACGGAGAACATCTGAGCATGATTATTTCCCAGACTTGGACGCCAGGGTTAGCACAGCTCGCTATCAGCGTGCTGCGGACTGGAGAGCAGCTGGAGCGTCTGTGGGTCCTGGCCCAGCAGCAGAACCAGTGTGTTTCTGTTTTAAGTTCAATCGTTTTATTCTAACATTAATATGTTGCTGCACGTTGGTCAGCTTGTTTAGAATAAATATGAATGAAAATTAGATTAGACAGGGTGATGATATCCCAAATGTTTATTCTCTAACTGTGCAAAAATATTTTCTGCCCAGTGGCCTAGCAAGGACACTTCTATCCAACAGAGCGTAAATGTGGCGTGTGCCATTGCAACATTAGGAGGTATAAACTAGGCTTATGCTACACAGACAACTTCTGTACTTGCCAAAACGGGCTGCATCACTTCCTGTTGTGCTTTGACAGTGGGCTCTCCTCTTCTAATACATTTATGGGTGGTCGGCGGGGCCCTTAAGCACATTGTGCCCAGGGGCCCCTGCAATGATAATCCGGCCCTGGTTGCCATGCATTTTTGTAAAACATAACCACTCTTTTGAGCATTTGTGCCGCTTAGACGCCATGTTTCCTGCTTCCTTAAGCTACGCAGTGTGCGCGGTGACGTCATTCACACCGACTGGAACTGATAGGGGGAATTGTTTGCAAACGTGGCGAACGAAATAGGAATTGAAACAATGGGAAATGGCTCTGGCTGAGAACTGGTTTTGATACCCAACCCCAAAATGTGAGAGTGATTTACATCAAACTACACCAAGTTGATTTTGGTTCTCTCAAGAGATTTTACTTTGAGGACAGAGCCACCTAGGTAGATGGAACAAACACAGTCACAACCAGGCCAAACCTGTTGTGTTTTATCACACAACACTGGTAAATGTGTTCACTTACTCACTAATTTGAATCACTATAGCACCACCTCCTAAGACACGGCTTGCTCTCCATGAAACAAACATGATCTGAATTGCACCAAACTGTGCACGACTGTTTTTTGTCAATCCATGAACAGCTCAACTGGAATTGACGTGAATTGGAGACTACTTACTGCAAAACGACCAAACGCATCCATGCCCTCAAATGTTAAAATTGTGTGTGTGCGTGCGTGCATGTTATTCGTGTGAATGTGTGTGTGTGGACGTTTGTGTGTTATTCATTTGTGTGTGTGTGTGTGTGTGTGTGTGTGTGTGTGTGTGTGCGCGTGCGTGTGTGTGTTATTTGTGTTTGCGTGCTTGTGTGTGTTATTTGTGTGTGTGTATGTTATTCGTTTGCCTGCATGTGTGTATGTGTGTATATGTGCATGTTTGCATGTGTGTGTGTGTGTGTGTTATTTGTGTTTGCGTGCTTGTGTGTGTTGTTTGTGTGTGAGTGTGTGTGTGTGTATGTTATTCGTTTGCATGCGTGTGTATATGTGTGTATATGTGCATGTTTGCATGTGTGTGTGTGTATGTGCGCGTGTTTGCATGTGTATGTGTATGCTATCCATTTGCATGCGTGTGTGCGTTATTGATGTGTGTGTGTGTGTGTGTGTGTGTGTGTGTGTGTGTGTGTGTGTGTGTGTGCGTGCTTCTCCGCACTTAAATGCTTGTCCAGCAGAACCCAGTGAACCACTGTCAGACTCCTGAAATCATGAGCGAATATAGATGGCCTCAAAGCTTCTTACAACAGAGCCCGCTTACGATTCCCTTTCCGTGCACAGCATCCTTGAATAGACCACACAAAGATCCTTAAGCCAAAAATCCCTCCTTGGTATTTAATTCTAAATGAGTAATTACTGGGTGTGTCAGTGTGTCTTAGGTTTGCAGGTAGGCTGGGTGACGGAGCTCATTTGCACAGGGGCTTTGGAGGGAACTGTGATCTACACAGACGTACCCATTGTTAGTGAGTGGTCATCCTTGGGAAGCTGCTGAAGAGCCCAGTCGCATAGAGGGGACCAACTACATAGAGCTGCCAAGATGTGTGACATGGGGGGTTTGGATAACCTGGTGGCCAACACGGCCTACCTGAAAGCCCAAGGTGGGGATGACAAGGAGATGAAAAAGAGGCGTCGCAGCCTGTCTCTCCCTAAGACGGAGCAATGTGCTGCCCTCCGGACCTCCATTGAAAAGGACTTTGCATCACTTTGTGAAAGGCAGCCTATAGGGAAAAAGCTATTCCGTGATTTCCTGGCAAATACGGCTGAGTTTAAACTTGCTGCTGATTTCCTGGATGATCTGTATGACTGGGATCTGTCTGAAAGTGCAGGGAAAGACAAGGCCCGTCAAAACATCATCAACAAGTACTGCAAAGCCGACTCCAAGTCCTTCCTGACCTTCCTCACTGGGGAGCCTGCAGAGAAATGCAAGTCTGTCACCGATGCCAACTTTGAAGAGGTGATGAAGACCAAAGTCCAGGATGGTGTAAGGGAATTTCTAAAAGCCAAACCGTTTACAGACTACCAAGCCAGCCCATTCTTTGACAAATTCCTCCAATGGAAGGAGTACGAGAAACAGCCCATCACGGAAAAGTACTTCTATGAATTTAGAACTCTGGGAAAAGGTGGCTTTGGAGAGGTAAGCATGGAAATCTGTGGAAATTTCAGGGGGAACCAAAAACTGTTTTCAGCTCTGATTTAGAGACCGTTATTTCTGGAGACACCTCAACTGTAACAACAGTTTGTAAAGATATTACTAAGTTAAAGTTTTAGTACAACTTATACTGACTTTACGTAAATATCATAAAAACATAAACAACTTTTAAAAAGTAATGTCTTGAAAGTGTTTTATTATCAGATAAAAAGCCAAAAATTAAAGTTCAATGAAAATGATCTACAGAGGTCCTGGGTGTGAGCCCTGAGGAATCCCTTTGGTTTAATTAATCCTTTTATGTCCACATGAAGCAAAAAGCAGTGAAACGTTTGAGTGATTGTGAGTTCTAATTTCATTTAAGTCAATATAGGGTAATAACTGTAATAATAATTAACAACATGATTTAATTTTTTGCAGGAATATTTAAACATTTCTTGATAAATTTTAAAGTAAAAAACCATGTTCTACTGTGTTTGACCCAACGTTAACTCCTGGGATACCCAGCGTTGCTTTTATTTAAAGCTGCTGTAACGAATCTGTGGAACAAGGTTTTGAACACAGTCATGGATCATTGTCCCTTTCTCTCGGGTATCCTCCCTGAGACCCTTCGGCCGGTACCAGAATCCCACATTGCCAGATGAAACAAAATAGTGACAGCAGTCGCTGTTTTCTAGGTCCAAACGTCTCTGTTAGCCGTGAATTCAAATGGTGTTTTTCTTTTGGGGACTCTGGTAGTGGTAGCAGCGGGCTGTTTCTCCTTCTCTGATGTTACTGAGTGGAGAACCTCTCACACCAGTGGTGTTCTGTTGCTAGATGTGCGAGTGGCTAATGAGTGGAGGACCCAGGGAAGTGCTGCGAAACCGACAACTGGATGGTCCGATGGCTGCTTTTGGTCCAAAACGTGTTATTGGCGGAGGTTTTTAGGCAAATGCGAAAGGAACACTTAAATCATTGTTTTCGTTGATTTTATCTCCATAATGTATTTACAGCTATACTATGTTAGAACGTTGTTTAGAAGAATGAAAAAATGTTTTAAGCTGATTAGTTTTCCAATGTCCGAGGGTGAAGTGTTGAAGAAAGTAAAACTCTCAGTCTGAGAGATAAAATCATCTTTTTAACGAAACTGGTAGTTTTCTAGATTTACTTTTTTTTTCCTGTGAAACTCGTAGTTTTAGACAAAAAGGAAAAGTAGACTTTCACCAGAGGTGTGTCTGACTGGATCTCGTGAGTACAGGTGGTGAGGGTCACGCCTATTTGATCTTTATTGTGATTAGTTTTTTTAACGACCATGTCTTACTCTACTCTTTCAGAGAACCAGTGAGATTTCCGTAAACTCCATTAGTTCTTGTTTGGCCCAGAGGTCCGTTAGCCTGACACCAGAAAGCATAACTTGGGTACTGATTAGGGGTTTTAAGGAGGCGTGAGAACATCCAAAATAAAGAGCTCTCTGTCTGCAGGTGTGTGCTGTTCAGGTGAAGAACACAGGCCAGATGTATGCCTGCAAGAAGCTATGTAAAAAGCGCCTGAAGAAGAAGGGCGGAGAGAAGATGGCCCTGCTGGAGAAAAAGATCTTGGAGAAGGTCAACAGCCTGTTTCTAGTCAACTTGGCCTACGCCTTTGATACCAAGACCCACCTGTGCCTTGTCATGACCCTGATGAATGGGGGAGACCTCAAGTACCACATATACAACATAGGTTACGATGGCAAGGGCGTGGACAAAGGCATTGAGATGAAGCGCATCATTCACTACACAGCACAGATCGCCACTGGCATCCTGCACCTGCACGCCATGGACATTGTGTATCGTGATATGAAGCCTGAGAACGTGCTGCTGGATAGCCAGGGCCAGTGCCGACTCTCGGATCTGGGTCTGGCCATAGAGATCTCTCCAGGGAAGACCGTCACACAAATGGTGAGGGTTTGGACACACATGGAATGATGTGGTAGCAAAAGCTAAGAATCAGTCTGGAACCTCGGAAGGTGATGCAAGAATCCTCTTTGTTCCATGTTTGAGCATACAGGCTCCGCCCACTAATGTGTGGCAAACTAAAAACAATTGTTCATCTCTAAACGGTGTAAATAAACCAAGATCAGTGGATGTTTGGTGGCAGGTTGATCCCAGGTTGTAGACATACACTTTCATGGTAAATCCGGACGGGGATTAATGGTTTGTTTAAAGATCCTCACAATTAGACTTTCTGAATCCATTATGTAACGTAGCCTAGCCTCCATTTAGCATCAGGGACGTTTAGGGATTCAGGCTGAAGGAAGCCACGTTACCCCATGTCTCCATGTCTTTCTTAACACCTTCATGGGAATCATTCAGGTGGTTTTAGTTCCTTTGTGTTTTTGCATGACACCAGCTGCAGACCACTGCTCACCCACATGTGCACCAGGAACATTTTAGGATGAATTGCAGCAGGTTTCCTGTCGGACTTACTTGCAGGAGCTGAAGCAAAGAGTAAGCTCTGGGCTCCATGAAAGTCCCTTAAGCTCATTATCAGCACTCCAATGCTCCTCAGGCAGCCCAAGTGACTGGGGTAACCTCGTACAGGCCTGGCTGGCTTTGGTCCCGTAATCCTCTTAGAGGGCTTACACAAGTCTGTCCCTGATTAGATCCACGGACTCAAGTGAAACTTGCTTTGCATTTGCTGGGACATGATCACTTGCAAGAAAATTTTATCCACGTCTGTACTTAAAGGTGCAGCCTGGATGGTCTGATAGGAGCTCCTCTCTGCATACAGGCAGGTGTGTATCCGTGGCAAACAGGTGAAGGGCAGATCTTGCAAAAGAGATAACCGTAGAACCATGTTAGGTCCTCCTTAAATATCCACAGTCACGTGTGCCTGGAGAATCAAGGTACCCCCCCGATCGGTTCCAAGAATCGTATAGTGGACAACTTAGTGAATCAGTCCAATGTCCAGATCAACAGGAAGAGCTGCCAGGTGTCCTTAAGGAGTTTTGAAGGGAGAGAAACCGTAAGGCAGTGGTTTAGGCATCAGCTGTGGTGTGTATGTGTGTGTGTGTGTGTATTTCTGCACACAGAAACGGACCCGCATTATATAAGAGACAGTAAATGTGCAGACACACACAACTCTTGACAGCTAGCAGGCTTATCGTTAGGATTAAGCTCCTAGTTTAAGGCTGCCGGTGGGGTCACTCAGGGAAAGGGGTGGTGGTGGAGTGGATAAGCATTAGAAAGCTGGAGGAGAAATGAAACACCTTCTTTTAGTGTGTAAAGTTCTGAATGAGATGTTTTCCAACTATCAAAACGCGTCCTACTGTTATAATCTTTTCCCTCTAACGTCCCTTCATCTCAACTGTCCAGGCGGGTACAGGAGCATACATGGCCCCTGAGATCCTGACCAAAACGCCGTACCGGACGTCGGTGGATTGGTGGGCCCTGGGCTGCAGTATCTATGAAATGGTGGCTGGCTATACACCTTTCAAAGGTCCTGAGAGCAAAAAAGAGAAGGTGGAGAAGGAAGAGGTGCAGCGCCGAATTCTCAACGAGGAGCCAAAGTGGGAGCACAAGTGTTTCGATGCCTCCACCAAGGACATCATACAACAGTTCCTCAAGAAAAAACCGGAGGAGCGCCTGGGGTTTAGGTAAGAGCAGAGTTAGCATGTGGTGCTCTGATGCTTCTCTGCTATGAAGATCAGACCACCCACACGCTTCTGAAGCCCCCTAGTGGCTGGCAGCAGAGCAGAGGTGTCCTGCATGTTTTAGCCTGGTACTGAACGATGTTTTGTCCTAACAGGAACAACATGGAGGATCCCAGGAAGCACGAGTGGTTCAAGAGCATCAACTTTCCTCGCCTTGAGGCAGGACTGGTGGATCCTCCCTGGGTCCCTAAACCCAACGTGGTCTATGCCAAGGATACGGGTGACATCGCCGAGTTCTCTGAGATCAAGGGCATCGTCTTTGATGCCAAAGACGAGAAATTCTTTACAGAGTTCAGCACTGGCGCCGTGCCCATTCAGTGGCAGCAGGAGATGATTGACACAGGACTGTTTGACGAGCTCAGCGACCCCAACAGGAAAGAAGGTGGAGGAGGCTTGGACGGCGACAAGAAGTCTGGCACGTGCATCCTGCTGTGAGCAGGGTCGTCTCCTAACACCCAATCACTCTCTGTTGGTTTTCTAATAACAATCTAAAAGCGGGCCGAGTATCATGGAAGGGGAGCAGGAGCTCCTTTAGCAGGACATCCGTTCTCCGTGGCGATGCTCACAGCTTACAGATCAGCTGCTCCTGATTGGCTGCTCGTCGTTCCTGGTTCACAGCTTCTCTCCCAAGACGTTCTGATGATGTTGGTGACTGAGTGCTAGCAGTGCTGGTGTTAACGGAGTTCGCTGTGTGCCAGAAATACAGTTTAATCTGACACATTGAAGCAGGTTTTGCATAATTAACTTTAGGAAACAGACACTTGGTGTTCATCTAGACCTGAAAGTTAATCCGCTCTAGAAAACTGTGCAGCTCTGTAGCATCTGTGTCGATGACACCATGAACCCACACGGTTGGTACACGTAAAAGTGCTTTTGACAACATCTGGCCGACAAGTTTCCGGTATAGTCTTACCAGACATCTGTCTGCCACGTACACAGAGTAATACTAACCTGCCGGAGTAGATCATTTAGGTTTAATTTACCAACTAAAAAATGCCACCTCCTGCCTTCACCGTTGGTGTTTGAGGCTCGAGCCGCCAGCTCGTGGAGACATCAGCGTAGGATGACGGACAACTTAGGGCGACATATTTCTGCACCTGGATGTCTGCGAGCGAGCCCGGGAAACGTGGCGATGATTCAAACCGGCACAGTGCTTAACAGGATTCCTCAGATTTGGTGATTGGATCTAGAGACTAAATAGTTAAAATGGATGTTATTATTGTTGTCGCTTGTCTGTGGTTATTTGTTTGTTTTCAGTTTGACGCATTTGTCAAATTTGAGTTTTTACAAGTTATGTTACAAATGCATGGTCATAAACTTGTAAATACTTGTAAAGTAGGAATATATGACAGAAAAGATGTAATCTTGAATTTAATTTAAAGAAATTAAAGAAATATCTTTTAAAACCTGCTCATCTGTTCTTCATGTGGTTTGTCACTTTCCTCGGGTTTAACCTTATTCCACCAGCGTCCTCCAGGATGTAGGACTCGAGAGTAAACCTAAAAATACCGGTAGCATTAAAGAGCAAATCGCAGGTTAAATGTTACAGCTCCCATCTCGGCCCTCTACCACGTCACAACGCCCACAAATGTGTCAGCCGACGCCAGCGGGTATGGGCTGGGAGCTGTGTTGCCCCAGCTTCATGACGAAGAATGGAGGTCAGTTGCTTACTGCTGGAGACGTCTGTCTGACGCCGAGACTCGCTACGCACGGATAGAAAAAGAATGTCTGGCTAGCGTCTGGGCTTGTGTAAAGTTGAGGCTTAGGTCAACTCGCATGCGGAACGGACCGTAAGCCGCTAGTAACACTTGTGAACAATCTAAGCCTTGATGATGTCCCCTTGAGATGTCAGCGTCTCCTGATGCGGCTCATGAGATACCAATGCTGTATATGTGCCAGGCAAAACACTCGTCACTGCTGACACACTATCCTGAAGCCCATCGTCAGAAGGACGACCCCCACTCAGGGACAGACGGCTATGTCGCTGCCATCCTCCAGGGCATCCCTGTGTGGCAGTGTGAGTGTCCTGTCACCGTGTCCCGATTGATCATGCGCCCTGGCTACTTGACCAAGAGGATGTCCCTTTGGCTGACTGGTTAGAGCGTATGACTCTCACCTGGGAGTCTGGGGATCGAATCCCGCCCGGGCCCTCGTTTCTCCACCTTGCCACACCTGCATCACCTATAAGGATGGAGGGACTTCAAATGGCTACAGCAGCTGACGGAGAACTGCAGTCTGTCATCAAACACGTGAGAAACGTGTGGCCAGAATACGGTGGAAAACTCACCAAATATAAGAGCATTCATGAAAGTAAGGAATGAGCTCTCACCTTGGCATCACCTTTGACTCCACTCTCTCCTTCAAATCCCACATCAACAACATCACCAGGACATCATTCTTCCACAGCGCCCGTCTCCGTCCATCCTTCTCTCACTAAACCGCTCAAACACCCATCCATGCCTTCATAACCTCCGGACTTGATTGCTGCAGTAGCATCCTCTACGGACTTCCTTCCACTCACTCACAAAAACTGCAGTACATCCAGAATTCAGCTGCTCGTCTTCTCACCCGCATTCGCTCCAGAGCCCACATAACTCCTGTCCTCAAACACCTCCACTGGCTCCCAGTTCAATACTGGATTCAATACAAACTGCTCCTCATCACCTATAAATCTCTCAATAACCTTGCCCCCCTGTATCTAACCGACCTTCTCTACCATCGTTCTCCTGCTCGCAACCTCCGTTCTGCCGACTCCAGTCTTCTTTCCCCCTTCAGAACTCGACGCTGCACCCTGGGAGATTGAGCCTTTGTGGCTGCCGCCCCAACTATCTGGAATTATTATTATTACTAATGTTGATCAAACCATGTGGAAATTCCTGTTTTGGCACAGATTCTGGGTCAGTAGCTTCTGTTTTATCTGTTAGGTTTAAAATATCGGAGCCAACTCAGAGCAGATTATGAAGCAGAATATTGACTCTGATGAAGAAATTCACTCATCCAGCCGGGAAGATGGAGGCTGCTGCAGCATCAGACAGCTGGTGCTGCACGAGAGGTGTGTGGAGTTTACAAGCTCCAAACTTTGGGTTTGATGTTGGTTTAACCTTCTCTGGGACGTGATGAATGTAGGAATGATGGTAAAACACCGCTAACGTGACAGACGTAGCGACAATGTAAAAAAAAAGCCATAAAAAGGGGCAGATGCGTTATTTATGTGTGACGGTGTGAGCGTCCTGTCACTGTGACCCGATTGGCCGTGCGCCCTGGCTACTTGGCCAATGGGATGTCCCTTTGGCTGACTGGTTAGCGTGCGTGACTCTCACCTGGGAGTCTGGGGATCGATTCCCGTTCGGGCCCTCGTTTTGCCATCTTGCTAAATATGGAAGTCAAGTATGCCACATAATCATAAAAGGTGAAACATAAAATTTAAGAAGAGATTTATATATTTATATATAAATCAACATTTTCCAAATATAATGACAATTTCTAAATAATGTAAACATATGAAGGAACATCTGTTGGTCAGGCTGAAAAGTTTGGGAACCACTGCTCTAAGTGATGAGGTTGGGCATCGAGCATCGATTGGAATCACTTCCAACTGTTAGTTTTTCCCAGAATCATTCAAAGTTTTTTATTTCATTCCTAGTTTCAGCGCTTTGGGCTTCCTGACAGGGTTGCGGAAGGCGCTTTATAAATAAAGCTTTGATTGATTGATTGATTGATTGATTGATTCCTAGAATGCCGACCAGAAGAGGTATCCGCGGGCGATTTCCGTGAAAAATAAACGTGATCTACAAATTGTGATCAATGCTTTTCAGAGCTGATCACACCAGCTGCAGAAGAAGAAGAAAATATCATTTCTATAGCGCCTCTCAAGATAAAAATCACTAGGCGCTTCACAAAAACAAAGAATGTAAAAATAAAAAAAAAGCATTTAGAAAATGTTTAAAAATATATTTTAAATGAGCAAAAATAGACAATTGTGATTAAAAATGTAAAGAAAGAGAGAGAGTGAATAGGAAAGAGGGAAATCAGTGGATCCTGAGGAAGGTGGAATAGGTGGGGAGAGCAGAATAAAGAGAGAGAGGTGAAGAAGGTCATACAAAAGCCAGCTTGAACAAGTGAGTCTTCAGCTGCTTTTTAAAGGAGACCACTGAGTCCACTGATCTCAGGCTCAGGGGGAGAGAGGTCCAGAGTCTGGGGGCCACAGCAGCAGATGATCTGTCACCTTTGACCTTTAGCCTGGTGCTGCACAACCAGTAGGCTTTGATCACTGGACCTCAGGGACCTGCTGGGGGTGTAGGGACTAAAGCCTGATTTATGCTTCTCCGTCTGCGTCAGGGCGGAGACAAGCAACGCCATTATCCGTCCTTGCGTAGGGCTCCGGCAGGCATGCAAGTACGTACGGAGTCGAGCCCACTTTTTTAAACATCCGTCGAACGAGACGGATTACGCAAGCTTGTGATTGGTCAGGACGCCGCCATTGTTTACAGCGCCGCCATTGCAAAGCGAGCTGAGGATAACTAGCGGCAGACACGGAGAAGCTTGAAGAATCCTCGTGAAAAACTCTAAAAATATGAACGTTTAATTCTCCCGTGACTGGAGGAGTGAAAAGATGCGCAGCAAGCGTTTTATTTGTGGATGGAAATGACAGGAAACGTGGGTTTAGAGGTGGGGAGCGCATGAAGCGGTGGGAGAATGAGAGACAAATATGTCCGTGTTAAAAGTCTCTTATATACACAAAAAACACAATATAAACACACGATCTTGGACCGATACATGACAGGATACCACAGAACAGCGCTACGCCCTCTGTTGTCCTGCCGGGGAATTGCTTTGCAACACTCCCCAGGAGACGGAGAAGTATGAGAGCAAAACGCTTCCGTCAATCCGTGCGTGTCTGTCCCTTGCGGAGCTGACGGAGAAGCATGAACCAGGCTTAAGAAGATCACCAATGTAAGATGGTGCTTGTCCATGTAAGGCCCTATAGACCAGAACCAGGATCTTGAAATGAACCCTGAAGTTGACTGGCAGCCAGTGAAGCTGGAGGAGAAGCGGGGTGATGTGGGTGTGTTTGGAGGACTTGGTCAGAAGCCGAGCACAGGCGTTCTGAACCACCTGTAGACGGTTCAGGGAGGTTCTGCTCAGACACGTGAAAAGAGAGCTGTCTGTGTGCAGCACGAGTTCCCCCCACCCACCCACCCAGATATAAACAAACACGTCTGCCGAACTTTTACTCCGTGACATAAACTTTAACTCCTGCAGCGTAGAGGAAACTTGTTAAATACGTCAACACGGTGGATTTAATAGAAGCTTTAAAGAATAAACTCTGGAGGGTGTGAGGTGAGTTTGTCTCACTGCAGAAATAAAAACACACACGCAGCGTCAGCAGTCAGACGCAGCCAGCTACATTTAAGCTTCACTTCCTGTTGTGACTGAATGCTGCTGCAGCATGGAGGTGTAGTTCTCAGTCATCCTGGACGTGATCATCCTGAGAGTTTTAGCTGAAGACAGCTGGACGTTTCTGGATATGTTGGAGACATTTAGCCTCTCATCCCAGAGGCTGCTTCCACACTTTGGTTGTGGTCAGAAACAAACACACTGGTTGTGCTGCAAGTCGTCTTCTTTTTGTCTCCAAAACATGTTTGTGTCTAAATGAAGGTGATGTTGTTGTTCATAGAGTTAAAATTCATGTTGAAGTTAAGATTATTTCATCAAGTAGGACCTGTGATCAGCTGGCTCATGTAAAACATGTCATGTCTTCAAAGAATCGGAATCGGGAATCGATAGGAACCGGAATCGAAACGAGGAATTGGAATTGGAATCGTTCAAAATCAAACGATGCCAAACCCTATAAGTGAATTTTGTTTTTTAAATATATTTTATGTGCAGTTTTTTTAGGGCTTTTATGTTTTCTGCAAAGATTGGTAGGCTGAAAATCATTTAATGTTTTACATAAAGCATGAGGTTTTGGTTAGTAATCGATTGGGAGAATAACAAATGACTGACTTGGATAGTGTTGATCAGCAGAGCTTTGTTGCATAATGGCCTCAAACACGTATATAAAAGTGTTAGTTATTACGTAAACCGTTGGATGAAATTACACAAACTGACTGAGCTCTAGTTAAGGCACTTGCAATAGTTTGTGTATGTGTACGTGCGTGCATGCTTGTGTGTGTATGTGTTTGGGGGAGGGTACATTGGAACTTTGTCCCCCCCAGTTTGAATATCGTATCTGCACCCCTGGCGCTACCAACACTATCTATAGTGGGGACGGTGTGCCGCTGACCTCTACTCAGGACGTTGTGGATCGGTGGGTCTTTGAAGACCACCTCAGTCCCACCGACACGTCTTCCAGTGAGGAAGCAGAGTCTGGGGACTTTGGGTTGGACTCTCCAATCTCTGGTGCTGAT